TCAAGGTTTCTCACGCTATGATATTGAACTCATTTGGAAACAGTCAGGTATAACATTACCTTTTGAAGAAATTTGGGAAGCATATAAGTCTCTCATCTCTCCTCGTTCATACCTTGAGATTCATATCATGACTAATACCATTAAAGTCAAAAATATTCCATGGGAACGACCAACATTGTTTTAAAGTTTAACCTTCAATTGACTGATGGTAAACAAATTCCATGCATCTCTGTCGCCATTTCTGTTAATATTTTTGCTGTCATTCATATCATCCACTTCCCCATCCGTTAACTTTTGAGGATATGCGTTAGAATAGCTGTTCTTAAATGAAGGCTTTTCACCTTTTAGCGCATAAACTCTATAACTTTCTGCATACTTTATGTTTGAACCTCCTGAGCCATCATTGACATAAATTTTTATAGGCTTCCACCCTTTGTTCATGTTTCTGCTTCTTCCCTTAGCTCTTTTGTTCAGTAGTTCTACATCTTTATACACAGCTCCTGTCTCAGTGAATTCAACAATATTTTCATTCGTTAGCTTTACATTCAAACCCTTGTCGAGTATATTGTTCATTTCATACATATAAAAGGTTTTTATTCTATATGAAATGAGAAGCAAATCCATCTTAGCTGGTGCCGTTAATGTTCCAATTGAACCAACATCAAATGTTGACTCACGAACGACAAACAATATTGTCATAAAGAACTATAGTTCGGAGTGTTTGAAAGAACCAGAACCAGAACTTAAGTCGGGACCTTCGGTCTTGGCGCATGGCGCCGTGAATTTAAACTCAGCTTCAAACGCTAACGCTACATCAGATGTTAAGTTAGAGTATCCACCACTGGACCAAATTCTTTCAAGAGAAGCCAACGACAACCCTTACACAAATGTTCAAACAAATCCTTCAGATAACGTAGACCATTACCTTCTTCAGTTATATCAAACTATCTTACTCAAAGACGATAAGAAGCTTTTGACAAATCTTATAAGCAAGAACCAAATAATTCTAACAAAGGAGGACCTTGAAAATGTTATATCACGAATAACAGGGAAACAATGTGTCATTGACTATCTCGACCCTGAAATCGAATGCTGTGGTCAAACGCCACCATTCATGAAAATAGGTAACATCCGCATCATTGAAATACCAGGTACTCCAGGAGTTGAGTTTAAGTATAAATATTCGAACGAGTATACAAAACTTTCAACAGAATATAAATTATGTTTGAAATATGTTTTAGTAAATTAAAGCAGTCAGGAGGGCTCTTTGAGCCCATCTTGGCGCTTTGCGCCGTTAGTCAAAAAAATTTCAAGTTAGCAATTTGTAATATCTATCCAAAACTTCTTCAACAGTATCGAACTCATCTTCATAATGCAAACCTAATCTTATTGACTTGGTGCAGTTCTCACTAACACAATATAGCGCTTTGCGCTCGGCGCCTTTGACGCCTTTTTCTGTTCTCTTGACTGACATAACTAACTCATTTGTTTCATCAAACAGCAACAACCAAAGTTCATGACCTAATACATAACATTCATACTTTATATTTTTAGCTCTGAGTTCTCTTGTAAGCTGTTGCATTTAATATTTTCTAAAAAGTCTACTTCAACAGTCATTCGCACTGGTGCCTTCAGTTCTACAGGCTCTCCTTGAAAGTCAACTAGTCTGAATTGCATGTCTTTCAAATTATGAGGACTAATGCGAACCCATTTACCTAAATGAGTTGCTATGACAGGAACGTTTGGAATGAACATTGAATTTACTTCATAACAGAAAGACTTATATTCTACTGAACCTTTACTATTAACTCCTGAAATACCTGTGACATTAGCTATTTTTGACTCAATGTATAAACAATTGCCATAACATACGTATGGAACAGATTTCATCTCAATCGTTTTGTCAAAACTTTTCAAAGGAAATGTCATATGGTATGCTCCCAGAAGCAATTGAACTCTATGACTCATTCGTGTTATCTTAAACTCCTTCGCATAACTGAACTTCAAAACTCCTGCAATAAGTTTAACATTCATTAAGTTTTCTTCGTTCTCCTTGTTTATTGTAGTATTTATGAGCGCATTTAACACTCCAGCTAATGTTTCCATCTTATATTCTACATTATTGTGAAATCTTATTTCATGCTTCTTTCCATCTATTTCAAACTCCATGAAATCTGTTTCATCTGTTATGACAAAAGTTGCGATAGTATTGAAGTCAACAACTCTGAAAGCAAGCGCTTCATTCTGAAGACCTAAGTTTGTTTGTAGCTTTACTGTTCCGTATTCGTTTGGGTCAGTACTTTGCAAATAGAACAACATTTTATTCTCATTAAAATATGACTATTGCTGCATATGCGTATGAAACAAATGAAGCAAGAAGAGCACATGAACTAGTAAACGAAAACTCAACTTTAACCATTGAAGGCAATGATTTAGTCATTGACGATGGAAAAACTAAAAAAGTCATTGATTTCGATACTTTTAACACTTATGACCCATTCATTACAATAAGTAAAGTTCCTATCATAAATGATGGAACGGTGCAATATATAAATTCTACAGTAGATGCCTCATTAGTGAAAGTACTGAATGTTCTCATTGAATTGTTAAAGAGCTTTCGATTTGACGACAACATTAAATGCCTAAAGAATTTAGTCATGAATGAGAAACAAATTCTCGGCGTTGCTGGTAGCAGTAATGATGTACACCTTATGACATTAGAATATTATAACGAACATAAAGATGAACTGAAAGGAGAGAAGGGTGACACTGGACCACAAGGACCACAAGGAATACAAGGAATACAAGGAATACAAGGACCTCAAGGCGAAAACGGTTTGGATGGAAAGGATGGAAAGGATGGAAAAACTGCTAAATCATGGATATGGGACCTTATAAATACTGGTTTAACAGCTGCTTCATATGGAGTTCTTCAATACCAAATCGGAAAGATATGGGCAGTACTTGGTGAAGAAGCTTTAGATGATGTTAAAAATGCTTTGAACTTCATTTCAAATGGTTCGGATACTATTAAAACTTTATCTGGTTGGATGCAAGAAACAAGGAGTCAAATAGATACTGTAAGACGTATAGCAAACAATGCACGTACGGATTGGATACTTTACGAAAAGCACAAAATACACTAAAGGAAGCAAATGATATTCTTGGCTCATATATCAGACATGCATGAAGATTGGCTTAAAGGTATTGACAAATCTTTAAAAAATCACAGTCAGTCTATTGCTGACTACAAGAAAAGTATAGATTTTTTACATAGTGCTATGGACGTACATGATGGAAGCATAAGGAACTTACTTAATGCTAACAATAACTTACCAGGAACTATTAAAGCATTTATAAAGTCCTTTGTAAAACCCGGGCTCTAACATTTAGGTCTTTGAGAGCAAGAGCATTGAAGTCAAGAGATGCAGAAACTCCAACAGAACCTACAGAAGGAACTGAAACAACAGAAACTCCAGAAGAACCCAAAACCAACAGCTAAATAATATTGTTCGAATATTTTCTCAACAGGTACTCTCTTCCATTGCATACATTCAAGAAATACTTAAGAAAGCAGACTTGACTTTAGGAGATGATGAAAGTTCTGTATATCTTTCGTTCCAATTCCAAATAGCAAACTTTTGAGACAGATATGCTTAATGTATGACAACATCTCTGATTTCACAAGATATGACGACGACCATGACCCGAAACACGGTGAAGAAGAAGTTTTACAAACATCCATTAAGACAGGAAAGGTTTTAACTCAAAGTCTCATTATTGACACCAAAGATGGCGAAGTGGACGTTCTTCAAGAGCTGAAGAAAAATACTTCTTCGGGAGGTGGTGGTAGGCATGAACTTGAAATAAATGAGATAGAAGAGAAATTAGCCGAAAAAGCAGATAAAGAACATAAACACAATATCTCCGATATAAATGAACTTCAAGCTACATTAAATAGTAAAGCGGACAAAAATGAACTTGACGCAACGAACAAAGTTTTGAAATCTCATAAACACAATATCTCCGATATAAATGAACTTCAAACTTCTTTAGACAATAAAGCAGACAAAAACCATGTTCATTATATAAGTTCTGATGAACAGATTATAACGGACTATCATGGATATTTAACACAGGGTGAAAAAGTGAATACGAAAAATGTTAATGAAAGAAGATATAAATTCATTCGTGCTAAAGGTTATGACATACACTGTACTGTACAGTATGACACAGGTATAGCACCACAATCATTTGGTTATAACGCTGAAATTTATGCTTCATACTTCTTTGTTAACGGTGTATTAGTTGAACCAAGATTTACTTTGAGAGTTAAGTCAAAAATAACTTTTGAAGATGCTATTAAAAGTAAAGCTGACAAAACAGAACTTGACGCAACGAACAAAGTTTTGAAATCTCATAAACACAATATCTCCGATATAAATGAACTTCAAACTTCTTTAGACAGTAAAGCCGACAAAAATCATACACATAAATCCTTCACTACTGTTAGAGCAGACGACATAATATTGAACTATGATTTGGGTTCAAGTGCACCTTTAGAGAATCCGAGTACAAGCGTAAAAGATACTCTTAACAATTTAGATAAGAGTTGCAGGAATATCGAAGGTCATGCCAGAAACTTTGAAGCATATGAACTACCAGCAATGTTAGACAGTAAAGCCGACAAAACTTATGTGGATACAGAACTAACAAAGAAATTTTCGAAACCAGATACAATGACATTTACAACAGAAATTATAAATGGTGAACCAGCAACTCCATTTGAATTTGTTAGAGGTCTTCAACCAGATACTTTTGAATTTTTCTTGGATAATTCTATTGAACTAACATTACATTATAAAAGTGGAACAAATGCAACATTTCATCCGGGAGATACATTCCAAATGGTATTTAATGACATAAGTTCTTTAGAATATGTTTATAGAGTTATGAGCATATATGATTTAATATATCCTATAGGAGCTGTTTATACGTCTATGAATCCAATAAATCCAAACACTTTATTTGGTGGTAGATGGTATGAAATAGTTGACAGTTTTCCATTCTACACTAATACGCAGTCAATGAAGATGGGAGGTTCAAAGAAAATAGGTATTGAAAACCTTCCTTCACATATGCATAGGTTCAGTGGAAGAACATCTGTGGAAGGAAACCATTCACATTCAATAACAAAAAGAGGTTATATAAATCTTGCAGCGGGTTCGAATAGACAGGGAATGAATAGATATGATATCTCAGATGACCCCAAAGATGTTAGCACAGGTATTTTCTGTGGAACTGCAGGAAATCATACACATGTTGTAGCTGGTATTACAGACCCAGCAGGTAATGGAAAAGATTATATGCCTCCTTATATAACAATGCACGCTTGGATACGAGTTGGTTAAAATCTTTAACTTTACATAAATGAGCTTGAAAGAAGTATTCGAACAACATCCATGGAGGTCTTTTAAGAAATTCAATGAAGCTGCAAAGAGTTCGGGATTTACTAACAGAGCTGAAGTGAAAAGGTTCTTTGACAAAAATGTTGTACATCAAACAAAAATAAATCCTTACGACTACTTTTTACCAATTTACTCCAACACTCCTGACGCATACCAATTTGACACTCTCATTCAAAGCAGAAAAGGAGGACATAAACCATTCCTCATCTTCATTAATGTTAACACTCGCAAAGCTTTTGCGTATATAATGAGAAATAAAGGAACTCATGAAGTGTTAAGAGTTTTACAAAAGTTTGTAGCAGAACATAGCCCAAGTATTTTAACATCAGACCAAGACGGTGCATACCTCAGCAACGAAATCACAGAATTTCTCATTAAGCATAACATAACTCACTACACTACTGAAGACCATAACCATAACATACTCGGTATCATTAACCGCTTCATAAGGACTCTCAGAGATTTAAATCAAGAGCGAGACTTTACCGAAGAAACAATGAAACATTTCATCGAAGTTTACAATTCCTCAACACATTCTACAACAGGACATACACCAAATTCAATGACACAACAACAAGAAGAAAAGTATATACAAAAGAAACGAAGTCAAACACAAAATATCAGAAATTCAACACAATTTACTCTCATTCCTGGAACAAAAGTTCGTGTAGTTCTTGACGACAAACCGTTGACAAAGAAACGTTTAAGGTTAAGTCGAAATTATTATATCGTAGACTCTACGCAAGGTAATGGATATCTTATAAAAGCTGCTGACGACTCCATAGCATTTTACCCTCGTCATAAATTAGTCGAAAGTAGTAATGGCAAACTTGCTGAAACCATTGACGAAGCAAAGCGAGGAGTGGTTATTGAAATACTTGACTACAACATAAACGATGACACTTATAAAGTAAGATATGAAGGAGGCGTTGAAGATGTTATACCATCTAAGAACTTGAGAGAATCTAAACCAACTCATCTGGGACCATTAGAGCGGGAGTACTGGAAAGATAAAAACATGCCAGAAAGAATAAGAAAATTCTTCTAAACTTTTTCGTTGGATGTAAATCAGACATGAATGAGAACAGTCATGATATCATTAATGGTACCATTTATTTTAACATAAAGACGCAAACGGACTCTTTGAGTCCTGAGGTCTTTCAGACCGAAGCGGCGAGGACGAAGTCCATGACCAAAAATAATGTTTAGGGTAGATGGTTAGATCTAACCTCATTTCTACCCTCATTTCTACCCTCTTGAATTTTCATGAATTTTCCCGAAATAAAAAATAAAGTTAGTTTTATTTTATTTATTTTGTATTTTTTGTATGTAAAGACATGATTTCAGGGATTTTTTTGACGAAGTGTCAATCTTCACTTCGTCAAAAAATAACAGTTATCTAATGAAAAAGTGTCATTTTTTTGTATTTGACGAGAATGTCGGTAGATGGTTAGATCTAACCTCATTTCTACCCTCATTTCTACCCTCTTGAATTTGTCATGACTTCTTCGTAAATGTTTTGTCAAGACTTCTTCGTAATGAGTGTAAAGGACCCAAAAATAATGTTTAGGTGAAGAGGTTAGATCTACCCTCATTTTACCCTCATTTCTACCCTCTTGAATTTTCATGACTTCTTCGTAAATGTTTTGTCAAGACTTCTTCGTAATGAGTGTAAAGGACCCAAAAATATATTTTAGGGTAGATGGTTAGATCTAACCTCATTTCTACCCTCATTTCTACCCTCATTTCTACCCTCTTGAATTTTCATGAATTTTCCCGAAATAAAAAATAAAGTTAGTTTTATTTTTTTATTTTTTTTATTTTGTATAAAAGATATGATTTCAACAATCGGCACAACAACAATTCAAACAACAGCACCAAACTCGTTAGTCATGAATCCAACATCTATGTTAGTAGAGATGAAAAGCTTCATTCCTTCTTCATATACTTTTGAAACAGAAATCCAGAAGATAAAGCAAGAACTTTTAACAAGTAATTTAGACTGTACCGCACAGGATGAAGAAAATGAACAGTATCTTTACGACATGCAGGACCTCATCGACCATTTACCCAAATTGCCTGAAATCCAACAACAAAAGCTCACTATTCCTGAATTCGATGAAATAGAAGTGAAACCAACTGACTCAGTAGAAATAAAGAAGTTCATACGAAAGGTAAACTATGAGTTTCTAGGATATCATTGCAACCATAAGGTTATGGACAAAGATTGCGACATGGTATATAAGAACATCTCTGACATATATAAATCTGAAGAATTTAAGACCTACGACAACTTTGTTTCGTTAGTTGCTGAATGTGTATGGCAGATAAGAGATAAAGATAGAAGAGGTAAAATATGGAACGAACAAATAAAACCAGCAACTTTTGAATTTAAGAAAACCATTGACGCTATAGTTGTACTTGCAGGACAAATTTCAATGTATAACGCAAAAATGAACCCGCAATGTTCTAAATGTAAAGCAGCAATGAGGAGATATAACTACTCCGTCAAAGAGATAGAACGTATGAGAAACGACTATGCAGACTTAAAGAAAGAAGCAGAAAAACCAGCAGAAGATAAAATGGACATGTTAGCATTTCTGAACAAAAACTATCCAACTGCTGACGATTTCCTATTATCTGATTATAGATCCGTATTTTTCCCAAGTGAGCGGGGTATCTCCAATCCCAGCCCTATCGTCCTCCCAGTGTCAGTTTTCAATATAAAATCCAAATTTTTTTTGAAAATAAAAATTTCGAGAAATTTTTCTAATTTTTTTTCTTTGATTTCAATAATTCAAAATAAATTTGGGAGTAAAAAGACACTATTTAATGAAATTCATATGAGTGAATGTGGATAAATACTCTCAAAACATACAATTTATCTATTTTTTCTTTATATTATCAACTAATTAGTGATAATTTTTTTTGAATCAGATTTTTTTTCATTAAAAACATAATATATAACACAACAATGATGCACACATACGTATCTACACATCAAAATATAAAGCTTGTTTTGGTCTGGGCATCCCAACCCAAAATTCTTAAAAAATTGAATAAAATTGAATACTTGGGGCTGGGATACCCATCCCAAAACCGAATTGAATTTTTTGAATTAAAGAATAATTTATGTATTTATAATATACATGTGATGTCTATAAAAAATACTAAATTCTAAAAAAATTCAATTTATTCAAAACGTATACTAAGTGATCACTTCATTAGTAGGATCAGCAATCCTACTAAATGGTGAGAACGCCACTAACTCAAAAGGGAGTCCTTGGAGCTCTTGATCTCTTGTCAGTAGAGTTCATAATGAGGCATGGCATCTACTGATTAGAGATCAGAGCAATCCTACCTTACCTTCAGGAGCTACAAAGCTCCTAATCGTTACGAGAGGGAGCCTTGGAGCTCCTGAAGCTCATCAGCAGAGGCTATTTACCATTTGGGCCTCTTCTGATGAAAGATGCGAAACACGTCTACGAACCAGGAGCTTCAAAACTTCTAATCCTTACTAAAGGGAGCTTTGGAGCTCCTGAGTCTCCATCAACAGAGTCCCAGATGGTAAATGTCCTTTGCTGATGAAAGATGCGAAACACATCTACGAACCAGGAGCTCCAAAGCTCCTAATCCTTACGAAAGGGAGCTTTGGAGCTCCTGAAACTCCTTTTACTATAAAATAGGACAGTTTTCTTCTGAGGTTCTCATCAAATCTAAGACTTCAGAAGAAAGCTGTCCTATCAATGTATACTTACACTCTCATGGACTACAAGTGTACAATTTTAAGGCAGAGATTATCCGAGGCCTCTCATCAAATGAGGACTCGGATAATCTCTACCTTAAGTAGTCAAATAACTTTTCTCACTATTTAGGAACAAAAGAACAAGAGTTGGAGTACTTTAAGCAAGATTCTTCCGAAATCTCTCATCGAATGAGAGACTTCGGAAGGACCTTGCCAAATCCTTGAACGCCAATATCCTTGGAACTGAGCTAGAACCAGGGAGAAGTAGCATACTACTGAGCACGATGGTAATCTCGGAAATGCTTATATCGCCCCAAGCACAATATTTAAGAAGTCTAACTCATATATACAAGAAGTCAGGCTGAATAGATATTGTGCATATGGTTTGCAGAACTCTCATGATATTTAAAATTCATGTTATCCCAAAAAGGTGACACTTTGGGTGTATCGTCCATCCCAGGGATGCAAAAATCACATCACCTTGGATCTATAATCTGATGTCAAGAAGAAATATAAAGAAACCTTCGGCATTGTTAAAACATTCGATGTACTAAAAGAAGAAATAGAGGCTACAAAACTGTTTAGAGTCTCACGAATTCATAACGTTTACCATGTAAAACGCTTATAAAATAACTGGGGTAGAAATGAGGTTAGAAATGAGGTTAGATCTAACCATCTACCCTAAAATATATTTTTATTGAATTCAGCACAAAATTCTGAGTAAAATAATTTTTAGGGCACGTGTCAAACCGTTGAGTTTTCACAAAATTCCAAAAATAACGTTTACCATGTAAAACGTTTATAAAATAACTGGGTAGAAAAGAGGTAGAAATGAGGTTAGATCTAACCATCTACCCTAAAATATATTTTTATTGAATTCAGCAACAAAAATCGTGAATTTCCTTAAGACAGAAAAAATAAAGTTAGTTTTATTTTTATTTATTTTTTTATTTTGTATGTAAAGACATATATGTCAAACATTGAGTTTGAAACAGTTAGAAAGATAGACAATGACACCAAATTGGTTAGAATAGGTGATTTAAACGTAAGATACTCAAAGAAATACAACAAATATTCTTTGTCAGACATTATATCTCCATCTGGAAAGAAAACACACGACTGGTTAGAAATGCTTCAACTCAGAAAATTTTGACAAAAATCCTGAGCTTATGATATCAGTAAGATTCTATGGAACTACAGCATATCTCATCGACAAAAGTCTTATACCAATAGTTTTGTTATGGATTGACCCAGTTGTTGGATATAACTTCATAACTTATGGTTCATTCGATACGGAACGTTGCAGTGAAGGCTTACTTTACATCGTTCAGAAACCGAAGGACTTCAACACAAAAAGATATAAGATAGGAAGAACATATATATAACTCTAAGATATGACAGTACAGTCAATAGAGTCAAGGTTGTGTTCGTTAATGATATGAGAGCCGCAGAAACAGAACTACTCGAAAAGTTTGAGAAAATGTATGGTGCTCCCATAAAAGGTAAAGAAACGTTTGAAGTAGATGAGATAGATAAAGCTATAAAATTATTTGACGAAGTTGCTGAAAAATACATGTAAAGCGTTTATTTTTGGTCTTTTGTGAAAGATAGAAAAAATAACGCTAATTTTATTTTTATTTATTTTTTTATTTTGTATGTAAAGACAGATATGTCAACAACAGAGAACACAACAACTGCTATCGTTCATGAAGCCATAAATGAAGAATACATACATACAGTATAACAAACAATTGAGACTCATTCGTTCAGTCAAAGATGACATGTACCAAATGCAAAGTATAATGAATGCTCTTAGTTCTACAAAGCAAGCATATCATTGGTTTGAAAACCAACAGGCAAAAGAACTTTTAGAAGAATTTCCTCATATGATTGCTTCCCTCGGAAAACCGAGGGAAGAGATTCCATTCGAAAACCGTGAAAAATTGCCAAACGGTTTGAGAGGATATTATGTTCATAGACTTTTAGTAAATGCAGTTGCAATGTGGGCTTCACCACGTTATGCTTGGAATATTTACAAACTTCTTGACGAACTTCACAGACAAGAACGTGGAGAGCTGGAAAAGAAACTTCAAGCAAAAGATGAAGTCATTGAATCCAAAGACAAAAGCATACAGAAAAGAATACCGCGTTCAGTACCAAAAGGAAAGGAAAAGAGTTATAAGTATATGATATATACTGAAGAGTTGGAGAAAGAAGAAGACAGAGATATGGTTATGTTGCATTTAGTCAGAAGAAACAACAAAAGCTTTTATGACCTTGCTAAGATTTACAAATCTGACAGAAACTGGTTCTATCGTGAAAACTTACCGATTTCAATGACACCGAATGAGCAAATAAAGGAAATTGTCAAAAGTACTCTTCCTCAAACACACTATGACATCAAAGGTTGCACAATACTTACATTCAAAGAAGACTTACCATTACTGAAGGAAAAAATAACAGAATATTTCGATAACTTCAAAGAGGAAGAATAAAAAAATCTAAGCTAATTTTATTTTTTTTATAAAATTTTATCTCATATGAAAGAACATGAATTTAGAATATTCGGAACTCATGACAGAAGAAGAGAACGAACAACATGTAAAAGATTATGCAAAATTTCTGAAGACATACAAAGCATTTAAACAATATCTAAATGCTTCTAAAGATTATGCAAAATTTCTGAAGGTATATAAAGCTTATGAAAAAGCGTATGAAAAGTTTATACATTGGGGAATTGTTGTAAAATATCGATATGAAGACTAACCAAAAATATATTTTTGCTTAAATAGCTTCAGGGTCAATTTCTTCAACCATTTCACTCCTTCGTCAATGTCAATTGAAGCTTCTTCAACCTTTGGTAAGAATTTCTGTATAACATCTTTGTTCGTTATTGTCTTCAGAGATGAAGGATAATATTTCACATTTGTTTCACCCTTCTTATATTCTTTCTGTTCGGAAAGATTCATAGCAATACTGAAGAAGTCAATGTTAGAGTTCTTTATAACAGTATAATGAGTATCTTTGACATTCACGAAGATACTCTTTTGTTTCAAAACTACTGCTAACTCTTGTGAAGTATAACGTTTGCGGTCAATGACAATAGCTAATGGTCTGACATACTGACCAAACTTAGATTCTTTCACAAACTTCTTGTTAAAGATAACATTAACGTTTGAAGCACCATTGAACTCATTCTTGATGGCAGTAGCGAGAGCATTGTATGAAAAGAACTTGCAATCTTGCATGTGTTTCATTAAAATAAAAATATTAAATTATTTTGAAAAATAACTTAAAAAATGTAATCTAATTTTTTCAAAAAAATATTTTTTTATTTCCTACTAAAGATGTATCGGAAGTTGTCTAAGTTAGAACACTCGGAAATAAAACAACTTCTTACAGAAGCTAATATAGAAGTAGCAAAGCATTACGCAACAAACAAAAAAGCACTCGCTGACTTCATTAAAGACTATAATGGTGCAATAAGTTATGATAGAATTCATGAGTTCATAAAGCCGCAACGCGGCGAGGACGAAGTCCATGCAATAGCATTTCCTTTAAATGACGTTGCTATTGACTTATATCATAGACGTTCAGTACCTCATGAAGTAAGAAGAGAAATGTTTGACATAACAAATGCAAACGTTGGTGAAACAAGAAGAAGAGACGACACACTGAAACAACAGAGAAGAGAGATGTTTAAAAGTGCTATAGAACAAGTTCGCAAAGCTAACGATGTCATTCGTTCCATTGACGACAAACCAAAAGAAGGTGAGAGATGGTTAAAGAAAGATGAAGAGAATAGGAAGAGAAATGTGAAGTCAGGCAATAGACTCATTGACTTTAACATCGAAGCTTTAGATGAACCAAACAGAGACTACTTACACAAACATTTCGGTAAGGTTTTCATGAGACTCTTAGAGAAAATTAAAATAAACTCACAACAAAGATGGATGGTATGTTATAAACTTGGTGGAAAGTATGAATGTTCTACGTTAAACCTCAATAATATTGGAACATTACTACATCAGCTCTTGAAGGAGAACTTTATATCAGAGATAGAAGCAAATGCTGCAGGTATTGTTGAAATGCACTATGACTTCTTCTTGACAAACATAAAGAATCTTACCGAAATAAAGATGTATGATTTAACAGAATATGAAGGCTTAACGATGTCAGATGTAAAGAAAGGCAAACCAAAAAAGAGACCATATAGAGATGAAAGCACACTGACAAATGACCAGAAAGCCATTTTGGAAGCTCTTAAGCAAACAGGAAACCCAGCACTTATAGAAAGCTTTTGGAAAGATAATGGTGAAAAGAAGTTTTATAAGAAGAGAAGCGGTCAGTTCTGGAAGTATCTTTGCACATTACCTATAAATCTTGAGCGCTACCAAATCTTCAATGAATTGAACAAAAGAACTGCAGCACTTATGACAGAAGACAATTGTTTCGTTTATGCTTGCATTCAGGCTGGAGTAAATGAAGAAACTATTGACCACATGAGAGAAGTCATTCGTGTTAGAGACTTTCCTCAAAGTAAAGTACAAGAAATTTCTGACGCAACAGGTATAGCATTTAATGTTACCATTGGTTATTTCAATGACTCAAGACATAATGAAATAAAGAGATACATACCAAAAGAATGTGAAACTGTTAGAACTATTGACTTACTTCTTGTTGAAGACCACTACATGCTAAACGAAAGATTACCAATGACAACATATTTCATTCACAACTATATAGAAATTCTCAAAGCTTGTGGTGGAATGAACATTGAGAAACAAATGAAGATTTATACAAAGAGAGAAGATAAATATGTAGTTCGTTATGATAGAACAACACCGTTATGGGATGTTATGAAAACATTGTGGGAGTGCAAATATTTGAACCTATTTCTTATGGAGAACTTTTCACATATACTACTGACTTATATAAACAGAACCTTGCACCATTTAAAGATTTGACATATGCTCCAAAGTATTGTGTACAACTGAAGAAGAAAGCAGAGTCAAAAGAAGTAAATAAAGCTAAATGTAAGTTCATTCCTGAGCACGTTTTCTTTGCTGACTTTGAGTGCAGTACTGATGGCTTTCATAAAGCTTTTAACATATGTTACGACAGTGAAGATGGTTCAGTGAGTGAAAGCATATGGGGTCAGAACTGTGCAACAGAATTTTTGGAACGACTCCCTGACAAGAGTTTAATATATTTTCACAACCTCAGTTATGACATAAACTTCATCTTAAGACACATGACAGAAGTGAAAGGAACTCCCATCATTAAAGGTTCACGAACAATGCAAATAACTGGTTTATATAAAGGACGGGCAATTATTATAAAAGACTCTTACAGTGTTATAAATAAGAAGCTTAAACTATTTCCTGCTATGTTTAACTTACAAACAGGACCGAAAGAAGTATTTCCATATAACTACTACAGCAGTTTTGTTAGCAAATGACAACAGAACTGGTGTCATTTCTGAAGCATGTAAGTTTATCCGGGATGCAGATACATTTATGAAAAACATAGATTCCATCAAAGGTTGCAGAATAGATGAGAACCACTTCGACTTAGAAAAATATAGCACGTTTTACTGCAAACAAGATGTAAGAATTTTAAGAGAAGGTTTTGTAAAGTTCCGCAATGACTTATTGAAAGAGTTTGATTTAAACGTTTATGACTACGTTAGTATTTGTTCAATTGCTAACAAATTGTTTGAGAACAGAGTATACTTCCCGAATGGAAATCTTTATGACCTCTCAAATAAACCAAGAGAATTTATTTCGAGATGCATTCAAGGTGGAAGATGTATGTTGTCAGATAACATGAAACAAAAGAGCAAAAAGAAACTCATTGCTGACTTCGACACTGTTTCATTATATCCTTCAGCTATAGCAAGACTTTATACTTTAGAAGGTATTCCAAAAGTATTGAAGGAAGAAATGTTAAACACAGAGTATCTCATGAGACATTTATTCGATGATGACCAAAAGGAACCCATTGGTGAAAAGTTTATGTCTGGCTTCTTTGTTCTCATTAAGATAACAGAGATTGGTATACCCAGACACTTTCATTTAATAGTTTGCGACCCTGAACTAAATCCAGAACTTAACGTTCCAAGAAGTTCAAACACTTGCTGTCTCATGTATGTTGACCATATAACATTACAAGACCTCATAAAATATCAAGGTGTCAAATGTGAAGTGTTGCAAGGATACTATTACGATGGAAACAGAGATATGAGAATAAGAGATGAAGTAAAGAAGTTGTTTGAGTTAAGGTTAAAGTATAAGAAAGAAGAAAACCCCTTACAAGAAATTATAAAACTCATTCTGAACAGCATTTATGGCAAAACTATTCTATCTCCTATTGAGTCAAAAATAACCATAGTAGATGACAAAGATGCTATAAGATATGCTATAAGAAATTACAACCATATAGTGAAGTTCGAAGGTTTGGATGGTTCAGATAAAACTATTTTCAAGCTAACGAAAAGCATTTGCAGACACTTTAACTTCTGTCCACTTGGTGTTAATATTCTGTCTATGTCAAAACGTATTATGAATGAAGTATTCTGTACTGCAGAGGACATGGGTCTTCAAATATTTTACCAGGATACCGACAGTATGCACTTATATAATGAAGACATCCCAAAGCTTGCAGCAGAGTTTAAGAAGAGATACGGTAGAGAACTTATAGGAAAGAACCTTGGTCAATTTCATAGCGACTTTGCAGAAATAACACCTGGAAAACAAAGTTTAGCTTATAAAAGTATTTTCTGTGGAAAGAAGACCTACATAGACTTACTCACGAATGATTTAAATGAAGTTGCATTTCACTGCAGAATGAAAGGCGTGAAGCAAGATGTTATTGCTTTAACCGCTAATGAAATGTTTCCTGAAGCTATACAATGCTATTACAATGAAGATAAGAACATTCACATACCTGTTGGAACATATGACAAAGACTCTGAGTTCAGTTTAATGAAACTTTACAAAGCACTTTATGATGGTCAAGAGATTGCATTCGACTTATGTAAGTCATGTCAACCTTGCTTTGCTGAAAAGTTCAACTTTTCAATAACGACTAAAACAAGCTTTATTCGTAAGTTGAAGTTCTGAGGTCATTTATTTTTGTCAGCAATGAGGTCATTTGTGATAAAAATAAGCCGCTAGCGGCATGGGCGAAGCCTATGTGGTCATTTACAATACAGCTATTGTAGAGTTTAACAATTGTGCTTCAATGTATAAACAATCTTTCCCATCTGGAGGTAAGAACACTGGGCACTTATGGTCATGAGTGGAGAACATGTCTATCCAAAACTCACGATTGAAGCCAGTAAGCTTTATAATACTTAGGATTTGACAGTGGTGAAGTTCTTGTATGACCAATGAACTCATTTTCAACTCCCTTACTTAAGTTTGAATATAATATAGCTTGCTTTCTATCCCAAATGCCAGGTGTTACAATCTTTGAAAATTCATTTTTCCTC